TCTTTGTACACATACTGTAGTTGAACTTGCTGGTTTTAAGAGAAGCCTCGTTTTGCAGTCCATTCACTCGTAACAACGGTGGAGCGTGACAGTTCTCTCCAACACTGATGTCTCCCTCCCTTTTAATGCCTGGTTTAACAGCGTAGACATTTGCTGATGAGTTTCTGTGCAAACAATGACTCTGTCGCTCCCATAAGTGAACGTAGTTAACTTTTACCAGTGGCAAGTATATTTGGATTCTACCCCAGTATTGGGGGGTAAAAAAGTGTGTAACTTTTTTAAGTAATCTGTAAGTTGTTTTCGGGAACCACAGTCTGCCAAAGTGCCTTTTGACACAGTTATATATATTTCTTTACATACAATTTAAAATAAGTTTCCTATTTTAATATATTTTAAAAGGTTTTTTTTTTCCCTCTGATAAAAAGGCTGAATTTTCCTCAGCCATTACTCCAGTCTTCAGTGTCACATGATCCTTCAGTAATCATACTAATATGATGATTTGGCGCTAAAGAAACATTTCTAATTATTAATATTCAAAACAGCTGAGCTGCTTCATATTTTTGTGGATTCTTTGATGAATATAAAGTTAAAAAAACTGGTTTTATTTGGGATACAAATCTTTTGTAACAATATAAATGTCTGTACCGCCAGTTTTGATAAATGTAACCTTGTTGAATAAAAGTAGTTTCCTTCCAAAAAAAAGTGACCCCAAACTTTTGAACAGTAGTACAGTAGTAGAATATTTTGGTTTTACTTCCTTTGGCATAATAACTCACTCCCCCTTGTCCCCTCACATTACCTGCAATTTTACATTGAAAAGAATACTGTTGAAGTTTAAGGAGCATTAAATTAGCCCCTAATCCTGCAATCGATATGGCTGACTTAAAGGTCATGACCTGTAAAGGGTTAATTCCACATTGAGGTAAGATCAGGCGAGAGAGCAAAGTGTCTGCCCAGGCTGGAATGTAAAATGTCATGCTATCCACCTCAAGCTAGCATTTCATTCTCCAACATACACATTCCAACAACAAACATGTTAATTGTTTCAAGCACTGTTGTTGATTTTTGAGAACAGTTATTGCAGCTAGTTTAGTCATCGGCCATCATTACACAAGAATACACAACCTGGCATGCCTCCCTTAACAGAGAAAGAAACAGAAAGATAAAGCCAAAGAGATGGGCCCTCAAAATGCAGAATGACAAGTGGCTATTGGTGGCTGTGTCTTGGGCCTCTAAGGGCAGGCCTCACAGGTCAGCTAAATTAAAGCATCTGATGTCTACATTTACTTTGATCAACTCCGCCTAGGAACATCAGGCAAAAGGAGAACTGACATTCTGAAGTAGATCACTAAGTGCTTGGTCAGGGCACAGGAAGAGCAGGTGCATCTCTAATTACGGTCCTCACACTGAAGAGCAAAACGAGAGAGACGGCAGGAACTGCCTGATCGGTTACTCAAACACCAAGGTGAAGTGAAGGTGGAAGAAAGATACAGAGAGATATATTTGGCCTGTTATCATACAGAAGTGCTCTGCAATGTGACAAGCTATGCACCATTTAAACTAAAATGTTCCTCTCATTCTTTCTAATTCCTATGCATGCAGCTTTTATGCAACCTCATATTAATTGAGAGACTAAAAAGACACTAAAAAGACACTCCTTGCTCTTTTGAGATAAAAAGAGCTTGATGTACCATTTACTTAAAACTTCCTAAACGGTCCAAAAACAGCATTTATTGAAACAAAAATGTAAAAACAATTAAATTATGCCTGTTTTGCAGCAAAAAGGATACTGATATTATAAGTGGACTACAGTGAAAATAGTGAACTACTCTTTTTGTACTAAATATAACAAAGCAGTTCACATAGGAAGCCTTTGATTAGGCAGAATGGTAATATTTATTTTTTTAAGGCATGAAAATGTATGTTATTTTATTGTACTGCAGCAAATGGACTATTTTCTGAAATGAAAGAAAAAAATAAAGAAAAAATAAAAATGAAAAGAGAAAAGCTTAATGTACAATGAACATACTGTAACTTTAAAAACGGAAAACATGCTAAACAGTACAATATATATATATATATATATATATACAGTATATATATATATATATATAGGAAATAAGATTAAAAAATGACCCATTCCGAACTAAATTACATCCATTTTGCCAAAAACCCAACATTACTAAATAATGGATATGACCTCTTAAAGTGAACTGCATTTAGCCAAAAAGAACAGAATTTATTATTGTTTTAGAACAATAAAAACTACCTAAAGTACCAAAAATCTTGATGTTGACAACACAATTTGATGTCCATGTTATCTGTCAACTAGCCAGTCTGTTTGTACTGCAGTTTTACAAAGTACTGGTTTTTAAGAAATAGAGTGAGAAAAATTACACTATTTTTAAACTGAGAGAGGTAGAAAGAGCAAGGGAATGAAAAATTGCTTCTGCCATACAGAAGGAAATGCGAGCATGTCAGAGAGTTATAGCAGTGCAAGGTCTTGGGAATTGCAGCAGTGACGGTTCTGTGACACTGGAGACATCAGAGCTTGCGCTCTACATCACTCACGGCCCCGTCTGTGCACCCAACCCCACCCCAGACACCCACCCTCAGTCACAGGCTCCAGCTTGTCTGACAACCACCACCAGCCCGCCATACTTCATCTCTCTATATACCATTTCACCCTTTGTATCTCCCTCTTTGGTTTATGGATCCCACCTTTCGTAATCATTCAGCCCAGACCGAGTCAGAGAGACGAGATGAAAATCAATTCTTCTCCTCTCCCCCCACTTCCACTGACCACTTTTCCGTCGTTAAGCAGAAGCTGCTACCATCAGCCGTCTATCCCCTCTTCGCCCTCTCGGACGTGCATGTGGACATCTGGGGTTCATATGAAGTTCAGGCTCATCCGGGTGATCTCCATCACTGAGGCTGCCACCCAAATCAGAGTATGTAACCCCTCCCAGCAGTAGATGAAAGCCAGTCACCAGCTACAAACTGTGATGGATGCAGTGCTACATCCTCTAAACTGCCCACTTCTCAACCCCTGGCCTGTGTCTCTCTGCACTGCAGGGCCAGGAGAACCGCACTCGTGAAGCGTGATGGATGTGACATGCGGTCCGGTGATCAAAGTCTTGTAGGCAAACACTTATTTACACAAGACTTATTAAGCATGAAGAATGAGATGATGTCCATGCAAGTACCCAGTCTAAAAGTCACTAGAGAGACACCCTGACTTTCAGACCAGCTTAAACCAGCATGAATTTATATGCTGATCAAGGCTGGTTTATGTCAGTTAGTGCTGGTCTAAATCTAAATTAAATAACATAAATTTACAACACTGCATAAGATATGACATAACATCACTGAATCATCAATGAACTGACTTTAGCTGGAAAAATGACTCCGTTATTATCTTCTAGCATTATTGACATTATTGTATAGTTTGCATTTATTGAGAAACTATTTTCCTGTTTAACACTGTAAAGCTGCTTTGACACAACCAGTATTGTATAAAGCGCAAAAAAATATATATATAATAAAATGTTAAGACTTGTAATTATTTGGAGTATGAGTGTGTTTGTCTTACAGCACTGGCAAATTAAAAAAAGTGAGAGAAATAAATAAATATAAATAATATATATATATATATATATATATATATATATATATATATTATCTGCAGCGCAGTAAGACAAAAAATACCAGTATTAAAGATACATTCTCAGAAAACATGCCTTAATATCTAATGCAGTGTTGCTTCTCAAGTAAATTCATCTTGCTTCAAGGATTTATTTATTTAATTTTTTATTATTTACCTCAAAAATGAGCAAGCATCAATTCCTCACAGAAGACTCGATTCACAATTGATTTTAATAGGGTTTGAGGTTAGCAGGTTGCTGAGCTAATAGCACAAATATTATACTAGGTAAAATAGTCAATTACTAAAATCATGAACTAACAATGAAAAATATTTTACAGGATTAATTCAATTTTACTTTCTATATAAACTTAAACATTTTTAGCATTTCCAGTTGTATAAATGAACATTTATGTATTATGTATAATGAACATGAACAATGAAAAGTAGTATATAGTATAAATTACACATACAAGTAATTATAATTAACTGAACATTAACAGATTTATAAATGCTGTAAAAAAAAAAAAAAGATTGTTTATTAAGTTAGTTCATGATACCTAATGCAAAAGAAGCTATCTTTTAAGTCTTCACATCGGGAGCATTTTTTAAAGTGCTGTCTAAGTAGGCAACTTACTAGGTTTTGGAACACGACTTGCATGCTCGTTTAAAGAAGATAAGTTTTGCAAGAATATTGGAAATCAGAATCAAGTTCTCTTACATCACATTATTCATGCTGCTGTGACAAAGCTACTATGTTTTTTCCCCCCAGACTTACTGATCTTCTCCATTAGGAAACACATTAGCAAATACAGCAGTTGGCCCCACCACCCCATTACTTTCTGGCTTGTGCACCACAACTGAAACAGGGGCTGGAAAACTTCAAAAGCTCCTGATGAGCAGATTAAAGTCCAGCCAGGCAGACACAATCATTATGCAATATTTATACATCCGAGTGCTTGTGGCTCACAGCAGATGAGTGAGGTCTCCTGTGGTGGACCCAGGATTAACGTGCACCTATGCCTGTGCAGAATCAGCGGTGAGATCAAAGGGGTTCTACAGCGAGTGAATTTCAGACTGAACGATTGATTTGCTGCGATGAACCCCACCAAGAGAGACTCACCCAGAACTCAACGCTGTTCCAAGACAAACATAATCGGAGATGAAAGGGGAACTACAAATAGAAAGCGCAAGTTGTGATCGCCACACACCCGAACTGAGGCTCTTGCAGCAGAACAGAAGCTCAAAACGGGGCGGAAAAATGACGACGGCGGCTGCTGATCTGACTGGACGAGGGGAGAGAACGGGAGGTCACAGTGTGAAGAGTTTTATTGTTGTAATAAAAATTTTCTCTTACCGTCACAGTCTCCCAAGTGAGAAGTGTTTCCGTGCTCAACGTCTTGTTCGAAGGGAAGCCTGTGGTGAATGGGAGAAAGAACAGTAGTAGAAACATTCATCAGCAAACCACATAAACAGACCATAAAACTGCACCGTCTGAATTGCAGTAATGCCTGTGTATTTTCTCTCTCTTTTTTTGAAAGAAAAACTACTTTTAATGCTGTCTTGAAGGGTACTTCTAAAATATCTTGTTTTTTTTAGGTCCTTTGCTCTTGGGTTCAATAATAAGTGATATTGCACGTTAAAAGCTTGTACAGGATGTGTGCAGAAACTCAATCTGCGCTCCTGATCAAGTCTTATACACAGAGGCATCACAGTGCTCTATTAGAGATGCTCTGTGTTACCTTAAAGCCACAATAATGAAGAAAAATGACTGCAGTCGGCTCACGAATGGCTTCCTTCCAACCGCATAAGTCAAACAGAGGAACGGCTGAAGGCAGAAGCGTGCACAGGGGGACCAGCCTCTTTCCACTACCGTTGGCAATTAGTCAAAGCCCAGGACAACAAGGCAGCCAGGGGTCTTTTACTGCCAGGGTCTTAGTTTTTCAGAAGATACACATTGTTTAAACGCTTTCTGTGAAACGTCTATAAAATATAATGTTTATACAAACTGCAGGCGCAGAACTGTAATCTCCAGAACTCCTCTGAGAGACGATGGCTGAGTTTTTTTATACTACAGTGGTGAACCACCCCGAGAATTTCAATGAGCACGCAGATTGCCGCTCTCCTGAGGATGAACATTAGCCATATTGTAGCAATGAGAAGCGTAAAAACACTGATAAACAGCCGAAAGAAAGTTGTTTTGCATATTCGCTATTTGTGTATATTAGCAAGTGGCAGTAATTAGAACTACTGTATCGTTTTTTCCACTGTGAAATTCAATTGGTGAGAATGTTTCAGTATTATGCGAGACAGAATCGATCTACAGGTTGGCCGTCCTTGGTAAATCAAATCAGATCCAGCCAGAGAGCTGTAATTGCATAACGGCACTGAGGTAAAACGGTCTCCACCTATACCGGCAGACAACCTGTATTTGCACACAGAACTCAATAAAACAGTCTCCCTGGAGACGACGGACAGACCTTTACAGGTATATTTAAAGTGGCAGAACACAAAAACTAGTATGCTTTTTTTAGACCTGCTTTATCTGAAGATGGAAATCTTGTTTTATATGTAAGAATAGATAGATGTAAACATTATGTTGGTAGGTACATTTTCAAACCTCACCTTGTACCTGCACGGAGGAAAGAGCAGGTGCTTCCTCTGGTCCAGCCGCAGTAGGGATCCCGTGAGGCGATGCAGTTCCTGTGAAAGAACAGAAACAAGCATGAATGTACCCCAAGGCACCAGACAGTATATAGTTTAATTCTGCTGGATTTCATCCAAGTATATTCCAGCTGGTTCAGTGCACACATTAGACGCTTGACATGTGTTAGTGTGCCTCACTGGGCTGCACAGATGACCCATGGGCACAGACACAGAGCACGGGCTGGTGACCAGTGATCACAGGATCACAAAACTATCCTAGAGCTGAGAGCTACAGTATAAACAGTTGTTGGGATTGTACTAAAAAGGACAAATGATTCATAAAGACTCTAAATGATGTCACTGTTCACATTAGTGTCAAATTTTAGGCATAAGTTTACATTCTGGATGATCTTAAATAGCTTTATTTAACAACTATCAAAAAGTCAATGGGAGGTTTCCCAGTTATGTACAGTAGCTAGGCAAATGTACTGTGCATGTGTGTATGTGCGGGCTTAATTAGCTATGCTTTTTGGACAAATTTGTCCAAGGAAGCTAGATAAACATGACAAAACCTGCCTTTGGGAACACTTTGGGAGGTCATAATTTGGTAGAATTATATTTAATCTAAATAAAATATAATGTAAAATAAAAAGAAGTAAAGCATACATACATTTCGCTGGTTCTCCCTTGTTTTTGATTATAAAAGCTGTTCTCCTGGGCATTACTCAAAAAGCTATGCGCATGTGTCATTTCTTGCCAGGCCTCCTTAAATTTATCCCAAAGCTGAGATTTATTCATCAGCTTCGATTCAGATTTAGAATTTCCCAATGGTTTTCAATGGGATTACGGAATGCCTTCGTTGCATGCGTGGATTGTTATTAATAATAACAATCCACGCATAATAATAATAATCTCCAAACAGACCCTCTAATAATGGCCTTGCAAGTGCCAGATGAAACTGGAGGTTCCTCACAATTGCATGTCTTATTCAAGACTTTGGAAGTTATTTTGAAGCTGTCACACCCTGAGGTGAATTTAAATCTCCTGTCAAAATGCTCACTAGTGTTCTTTGACCATGCCCAGCACTTTGGATTCAGCATGGTATCTGTCTCATAATGCTTTGCAATAATTCTGCAGACATTGTGAAAGTTAAAATCCTGCAAATGAGCAATATCAATTGACCATATTCAGCGATTTTATATAATATCCTTCTTGGTACATTAATTTAAAATTTAAAATAAATAAAATACATTGCTAAATAATATATAATACTTGTAATAAAATAAAAAATAATACACAAATATACACAGTATTTTTATACAAAATCAATATTAAAATTAATATTATAATCAAATTAACATTACATTAATACATAAATATTTAAAATCAATAAAAAAATATAGATGATATTATTAATAAAATAAAACTATATTATTCTATCAATAAAAAAATAATAATATAGAATTTATAATTTCATTTATATACTGTAAAAACAACAGACTATATGATATGTCCTCATTTGGAGTCCTAACTAAACGTGTGTGTGTCACTCACTTCATGCAGCGGGAATAGAGTTGGCAGCGTGCTACAGGCACTTTGATCAAGCAAGAGGGGAAAGCCAGTAGGAGGCTGTGACTGATGCGGTCCAGCGTGAGAGAAAGCAGCTGCCTGGCCTGAGGAGAGTCCGTCCCACACCTGGAACACACACAGTCCAAATCAATTTGCAACAAATTAAAAGAGTGCAGGGAGAAAGTCAAACACAATTTACACAGAGAAAACACTCAAACACAGTTTGATACAGAATGACATGACCACAACCTACATTAATAAAGTCTAAACTGTCAAGCATAACACAGTCTGATAATGTTTACCTTAACACAATATAATGCTGTGCGGTTAACAAGAACTAATGAAGCAAAGGTAGACCAGCAAAACCTTTAGACAAGCTAGCTATTGCATTTCTTATATGCATCTACTATCCTTTTAACACATTAGAGCTTAGTTATGAAAGTTGGTTTGCCATCTTAAATCATGAAATTTCCACCAAGGCCCTCTATGCATTAAGATAACGGCTTGTTATATAGTATGTCTCTAATGAACTGACACTAGCTTTCACCCTCTGAATGAGGCGTAAAGGGCTTCAAAAAGAAAATGTGTGTCGTATTAATGTGATATCACATTAATGTGTTGTCACTTTGTACTTGGCCCCAGTAACTAATCTGACTGATATCTAGGAGTCTGGCAGCCACCCACTCCTCTGTGCGTTACACTTAATTGGCACTTACCACTTAGAGTATCTCTCTTCCACCTGCCATGCTGGCTAGAAAATGCATTTGTTTGTATACATGTGCACACTGCACACATACATTTGGTTATAGAAACGATTACGATAATGGCCTCGATAGCAGCGGAGAAATCATTAGTACTTTATGCATCGGATCGGAGTAATGAGCCACACTTACCAAAGGCCATCAGAAATGTGATAAAGCTTGTTTCAAAAATTTTGTTAATCAGTATTTTAATCTCATTTTACAGAGAAAAAAAAAATTAAAAAGCTGTAAAAACAGATTAACTTGAGAAGCAAAATGATTTACAGACTAGAAAATCTATGTTGAAAATATTACTGAACCAAATAAAAATAATTACATAATATGGCAGTTAATTAATCTCATTTATATATATTAATATGAAAACATGTATACAGTATACACACACGTGCATATATAATTCAGTTCTGAATGGGCTTTACCATAACCATTACTTTTTATTAATTTATTTTTACTGTTAATTTGCCCTTTTTTTTTTTATTAATCTCACTAAATTAACACATTTAATTAACAGCCCTAGTTGAAAATTGAGTTTTTTAGGCAGCGAACAAGTAACGAAAGAGAGAGACAGGAAGAGAACAGACAGAGGGTGAGATAAAGAGGTGCAAGTTTAAACTGATTTAAGAAGAAAAAAGCTGCCTCTCTTGATACATGTGAGTAGGAGAGCGAAACAGAAGACGTAAGAGATGTGAAAATGAACCACTGCTATAGTTAGATCACAGAAAACAAGCGAGAATTTTTTTTTATTAGAAACAAAAAAAGCCAGACAACTTACACGGATGATACAAATACATCAAGATAAAAAGAAAAGTGTGCATAAAAAGAGATTGACATCAATTAACACTCTAGCCCCCATCTTGTTATGTCATTGTTGTCTTCGCTACAGTGTCTTGATCGATATGGATGAAGACATGGGCATTTTTGAGTGGCTTCCATCGGTCGCAGACTCCCTGACCCTGCGCGTGTCAAACGATTTACCACTTCACCACCGCATGATGAGGGATGGCAGAGGTTATGCAAGGCCAGCATGATCGGAGCCTGATCTGATTACTCCATCTACATTCCCCTGATTAGCTGGCTTCCCGCTGCGCTAGACACAGCTAGCACTGTCAAAGTCGTCACGCTCTCACACACACACACTCCTGCTCTGATAAATTACACAGAAATGTTTAGTGATTCATGTTGATTCATGTTTTATGAAGGATGTTTGTTTTGTTTAGCTAATTTGGTGTTTGGAAATTAAAAACCTGCAGACAGGTTCACCTGAATTACTACATTTTGCTTTAGTGTGTAAAAGGTTTCACAGTTTTTTGAGTATGTGAGGAGGAACAGACTAAACAGCATTTAGTCTGTCTGGATGAAGATGCAATTACCACTATATCCATGAAAAATGAGTGTTGCTCGCAAACTCCTGCCGCTTTCCGCAAGAGATAATGACCAGCTAATGCTCCATCTGTTTACATGCCATGACTTGTGATTCTCTGCCGTAAAACAATCACTAAAGAGCGTGTTTTTAGCATTAACCTCTACCTGTCTGGGTTGTAGCCTTCCAGTTCCTCGAGGAACACATTGTTGTTGGTCACTGTGTTATCCCTGTTGGGGGTGACAAGGAATTTGAGGATGGTCCCTCGGCTGGAACCCAGAAAGAGGACTGTCTGGTTGCCATAGGGACCAGAGTTTGTGTCCACCACCATTTTGTTGAGCTGGTATCTGAAAGTGACAGAAGACAACTTAATACATTCTCAAATGATACAGAGAGGAAAAAAGGTATTAAATTATAATTCAAAATCTCATGCCAAAATAACAAAATACACAAATCCGAAAAGCAATGTGTATTGACAAACCAGCATATCTTGAGGAAACAGCCAAAACTGCTCTACTTGGATGATTCAGCTTTCTAAAATAAGACGATCTCCCAGAGTGTTTAAGATGACACAAACAACTTGTCAATATAATCTTGTTGTGCCCTGTGGGATGCTGAGAAACCCCAGCTGTTGGAACCCCATAGTCTGAAGACTGAGATTGGACAGATACTAATGCTAGCAGACATCACAGACGGCAGGTCAAATGTTTAGCAAGGATCTTAATGAAGAAAACAATGCCCGGGTGAAGCTAGCAGCTAAATTTAATGTCCATTATGTGTTCCTTTGCTTCAAGTTTGTAAAAAATCTAACTTCTGAAGCTTGGTTGAAGTTAGTCATTTGTTGGTAGTCTAAAAGGTTAATAAACTACCATCTGGAGTATTTGAGATCGACCTGATAGCTCATCTAGAAGCACTAGTCCACTTTAGACCAGTGACAAACCAGATATCATGTCTTGAAGGCATGTATGACCTGGTTTTAACAGTAGAGAATCTGGTCTAGGACATCTGAGAGAAAGTTGTCCTCACCTGACCATGGTCCTAACAATCCATGGTCTCTGACCGAGTGATGGGATGGCTTCATCCATCAGCGGATGTGTCTTGACAAAAGTTAACATGTCATCAGGGAAAGAGTTGGAGGAATTGAACTTTGAGCCTTGTATGGCACAACCACCCGGCCTGAGAAATTCACAAACACAGCACATTATTATAAACTTCCTCTCTGCAGGTTGGCATTTGAGGACATAAAACACTCTCTAGAGTTGTAAAATGTCATTTCATTCAGTACCTCGGTTTGGGCACAACCTCATCTGGAACAGGTGTCCATATCGACTCAGGCGATTTCTGCTCTTTAAATCTTCCATCAAACACTCCGGCCAGCTGCTCCATGTCGAAAGCACACACTGCAGAGCCAGGAATACTGCAAAAAATACAGCACAATGTTCATATTACATGATATCCTCAGACCTGTTCTGTTTCCATGATACTGCTCTGAGCTGGAGGAGACTCGCAACACAAAATGGATTTCATTTATCACAAACATGTCAAAAACACTTGAATAGATCTGTACAGTGGGTAGTTGGACAGACATTTCAAGGCAAACAGAGCAGAGAATATTGTCCAGAGCTGTCACCGGAAACCTTGGGTGACTGCAAGCTCTTCCACACACTGACCTATTCCACCCACAAAGGATCTATTCAAGAATGCAGCGTTACACAAATGCAACTGAGAAACATACTTGGATTTCTCCAATAATAATTCAAGTGGCACAATAGAAAGCCACAGAATTCTTCATAAGGTGCCTGTCCATAAACCACGGCCAAGACTCATGTATAGACTGTCTGCAAGGTCACACACACACAAAAAAAACGTTAACTAAATAAATAAAAAAATTTAACAAAACAAAAATGTAGATTATTGATGTCAAAAATAAGCAGCAGCAAAATTGCATATATAAAATATAGTCGAATGCAATGTGTCACGCACGTTTCCTTCTTGAGCATCAGTAAATGTTTTCACCTTTTGTAATAGTTGTGTATGAGTTCCTCAAAAGATGGATCTCAAAATCATACAGTCACTGTTGGAAAGGGTTCAAATATGCAAAAAATGACAAAAAAAAACTAAACAAACAAAAAAACAGAATGTGCAGGACCTGTAGGAATTTTTCTGAAGTGGGCAATGTAACTGCTCAGGGCAAACAAGGGACTCATGAAAAACTAACAGAAAAAACAAATCATTGATCATCAAGGTAACAACACACAATATTACAATCGAAGTATATGTAAACATATGACCTAGTTCATTTATGCAAATTTGGTTATTATTTTGTTTTGTGCACTTTTAAAAATTTGGGTTTCAAAAGGGTTCAATTAGGAATCTTCTTTAACATTGCTATAGAAGAATAGATCGGCAGAAACTTTCAGTGAAAAGTTGATAAAATAAGTTTCTCCACACAGCAATCTTTGATGCAGTATCTCAAAATTTGCATAAAAATATGTGGATGGAAACCTGGTTAGTGAGAGCACCTCTCTTTCCTCCTACTGCGAAGCAGAGCTTCAATCTCTAAATGGTCCTGAAGTGATTTGTCTCTGGTGAAGCGACAGCTTTCAGCACTTAAAGACTTTCTTAGGAGAGAACAGAGAGTCATGCAGGGTGAGTCAGTTCAGTTCTCGTTTACACCCACTCTCTCTCTCGCTCTCTTTCCTCCTCAGATTTCCTGGCACTGACATACTTTGTAAGTACAAACCACAGCTGTATTCTCTTGCATCCTTGACACAGGTGAGTCGTTCACTCCCTCTCCATCACTCTCTTGAGCTCTACATCTCTCACAGTCTTCTCTGTGCTAAAACTCAAATGCAGAACATCACCTTCTGCTTTGTGTTCCAGGATTCTATAGGATCCAATAAATGACTCTGAGAGACTGGATGGCAGGTTCAGGTCTGGAAAGGGTGACACTCACACTGATCTTGATCGTCACCCATGTTGATCTGGGCTTTGTGGTCCATGAAGGCATGCTTGAGTGTAGCTTGCTGGGTTTAAGAGGGAATTAATGTGATAGTCTGTAAAGCTCAGGGGCAGAAGCAAGGATAAACAGCTGTCTCCAATAGCATTGTGGGACACATCTGTCACATGTCCACTGGTTTTACCCTGTAGTGGGATTGTATGTGCGTGTTTGAAGCCGTAGGCCAGATAGCAGCTTAGAATGACCTTATGATTGACAGTGCTGAAACTGTTCAGATTCAGCAGACACAGTGACAAGACTAAAACATAAGTCAGGCCATTTTCTGACAAGACTTCATTAGGCTCATATCAGCCTGATCATCAATGTCATCAGTCTGACACAATGCAGACCCTCAAAATGCCTGACGGGTGAACAACTTGCTGCAGTGGCACAACATGACTTTCTCTTCTCAAAACAGAACTTCGTAAATTATATTGTTTCTTATAAAATTTCTTTCAAATACCAACTTAGGTAACACTTTAGATTAGGGAACACATTCAATATTAATTAAAAGTTTCCCCTCAATAAGCTCCTAAATTGCTGCTTATTGATGGTAAGTAAGGTAGTTGTTGTAGTAGTTATGTTTAGGTACTGGGAGCTTAAAATATGGTCATGCAGAATAAGGCATTAATATGTGCTATAATTACTAATAAACAGCCTATATGTTAGTAAAATGCATGCTAAAAAGCAACTTGTTAATAGTGAATAGTTCTAAAGTATTACACAAACTTATTTCATACACAAAAAATTATTTTCTAAAACAATGTTTTGCTAAACTAATCTGTTAAATGGGCCATATTCTATTTGTTTTTGTTGCATTTTATTTTTAGTCCACTTACTATGATCGTTGTAATTCAGTTTTACATTACCATTTTCTACCTCCAAACCCTACATTTTTGCTGTTGTATCCTTAAAACATTAATGTAAATAATCAGTTATAACTGGTTTATCAGAATACTGAATAGCTTCTGGTGACCTCACTATCATGAAGATTTCTCAATGACACATTTCAGAAGATTATTTTCCAAAAATTTACTTGAGAAGCAACATTTCATAAAATATTAAGACTGACAATATCTTGAATATAATTTTATTTAGTCTTAATGCACCAGCAGAATTTTCACTTCTTATATATAAAGCAAGTGAAAAAAATTAAGAAAATACACTCATAATAAAGATGCATTCTCTGAAAACAAGTCTTCATGTTTTAAATGTTTATATAAGTAAATGTATCTTTAGATATCGAAACAGGAAAATATAACAAAAATACTCACTAAAAAGATTTTTTTTTTGCAGCGTTGGCTGGAGAAGGAGCAGGGAAATCCTGTTTTACATAATATGAAAAATTTGGAATGACATGAGGTTGAGTAAATGATGACAGAATGATTATTTTTGAGTGAACTATCACTTGAAACAAATTTGTACTTATATCCAGTGGGTACGGAAAGTATTCAGACCCCCTTAAATTTTTCACTCTTTGTTATATTGCAGCCATTTGCTAAAATCATTTAAGTTATTTTTTTTCCTCAATGTACACACAGCACCCCATACAAAGATCAGTAAAGGCAATCTGATTGAATTACTGTATGGTCTGCCACAGCTAAACAGAAAAGTTCCACTGTGTCTCTTTCTGTGCATCTCATATGTGAGCTCTGTCAAAATACTTCTCCGCTGCTCATTCCTGTATTTCCTCTCCAACTTTACGAGCCCTTGCTGTCTCCACTCTCTCTATACATGTCCCTTGGCTGCTTCAAACCTGAGAGTGTGCCTCTCCAGTAGATTCAGTAGGCCTTCTTTTATTTCTCTTTCAATCTGAACTCTGCATCCTCCTCCTGCATCCATCATGATCCACTGAGAGGATGATTTCACCTGCAGTCTTCTCATTTACAACAATCTCTCCCCATCCTGCCCTGCTTGGATCCTCGGCCCCACACTTCAAAGCATCGGGAGCTCAAATGAGATGCAAACACCTCTCACCTCCTTGCTCTGTTTCTGTGAGAGTGAAACCTGTCTTTTGAAGAGAGAACTATTTTTTCACTGTATATGTTTCCTGAGTTGAGAAGTTCTTTTGCAATTCAAATGTTCTTGATATTAGATATATTGTTTCTTCAGATCAGATTATTGGTTTCTGGGTCCAGCACAGTTTGTATTGAAACCTCAAATTGTGCGGCTTGTTGAGAGGAAGTGTGCTACTACTTTAAGCAATCTGACTTCTTTTTGTCTGGCAGATGATTAAAGATGAGAAAATGCATATACTCTGCTGTTCTGTTTCAGGTAAGAAAGACACAATTGGAACACCTCAGCAACAACACAGCAAGCCCTGGAAAACATCCTCAACACTCTAGCACACGCTCTGACTCAATGAGCTGTGGGGCCTATGTGGGAAACACAAGTTACCCTCTTTTCTTCCCAGTGATTTCCTTTTATCTACTACAGTCCACGTGCACAAGAAGTGAAAAAAGGCAAAAAAAAAGGGGAGGACTATGTACTGATGATTTATACAGCAAGGAACAATGGAGTGCAATAATGACTAATTTTTACAGTCATGGTTTCTTAAGTATTATACCCTTCCATTTTCTCCATATGGATTTAAAAACATTCTTCAATAAAGAGTTTTAAGCCATGAACTAAACCAACCACCACTGAAATGAATCACAGCATTACAAACTTTGATTTGAAGCAAAAAAGGACACCACACTTCAAGTTTGGTGTCAGTAAGATTTTTTAAAGAAACTAATACTTTTATTCAGCAAGGATTCATTAAATTGATCAAAAGTGAGAGTAAAGACACTTTATAAAAAAAAAAGGAATATTAAGTGGCACTACTGTTTTGAGTATATTAGAATTATTTCTCAAGGATCACGTGACACTAAAGACTGGAGTAACAGCTTTGTCGTCGCAGGAATAAATTACATTTTAAAATATATTATAATAATATTTCACAATATTACGGTTTTACTGTATTTTTGATTAATTAAATGCAGCCTTGGTCTGCATTTAATCTGAAAAACTGAGCATGAATATTTAAAATAAGATTTAGAATTTAAAATCTGCTCATGTATAAACTGGCAAAATGTTCAAAATCCACAGAATAGTCCTGTTAACCACTCTCTATTCAGCATGAGTCACTGCTTCTTAGACAGTGTGCACTTTATTACTCTCCTTCCCATAATACTTAGACCAATCTCAACCACATCCCAACATGCCTTCCTCTCATTCCCATAGTCCTCCCCTGCTGCTGTGTCTGCCACGCACTAACCAGTCCCGGCAATTTGTCTGAGAGCTCTTTAACAGACTACACATCCTCCCGGCAGGCTAGCGAAGCCCTCTGCGCTGTTTATAGAGGGCTGCAGCTGCAGACGGGAATGCTTGTACAGCTGGACGCTCCCTGCCACTGCTCCATCTCTAACTGAGCCCGCCGTTGATCCATGCCCTCAGGATAAGAGTGGAGTAGAGGAACCCTCACAGATAAGAGTCCGTTTTTTTAAAACTCTTGTGAAGGAGAGGTGGGGGAAGACGTGGGCTATTATTGACCGCCTCATTCATTCGACCTTGAGCGAATATCTCCCCCCTCCACACACATATACTCATCCTTCATATTTTTTCCCTTCTCCTCTCGACCCCCCCAGAGCGGCCATTAGCAGACTGAGATGTTATTAGAGTTGGCATTTGCTGAGGTTTGGCCCCTACTCTGACACAAATACACATTTGCATGCTGGGAGTCCTGTCCTTCCTCCATCATTCAGAGGGTGCTCTATTGCACTTCATTTGTCACACAGGACTCATAATCAAGCACACTCTTGCATACACTGTAGACATAGTTCACCCAGATATAAAATGAATATTCAACTTAGGTAGAATCTGAAATTTGAGTCATTATTCACACTCAAAAAAACAAAAAAATCAATGTAATCATCTTACATTTAGATTACCTTTGCAGTCATTTAATATGGCTAACACTAATGGCTATAATAAAACTGTAAATGATTATCAAGGTGGCATTGATTTAAAAAAAAAAAAACACAGTAAAACATTAATGTGAAATATTACAATTTACATTTGTTTCATATTTTAAATATATATATATATATATATATATATATATATATATATATATATATATATATATATATG